AATACTGGGCATCCTATCCTTGATCAATATCTCTTCTTTTTTGGCAAAGCAACATTTTATTTTTTTGTAACTATCATTCAGTAAATACTATAACGCTATGAAATAATATCATAATTTAGTCTCCTTTTCAAAAGAAAGGTTTTCTAAGGAGATGACTTGGAGCCTTCTACATGATCAACATCTTAATAAAGGAAGCTTTGTCTTAAGGGAAAAATATTAGGAAGTCATAGTTCTTCCCACCAGGAAAGTCTAAGATTGTTTTTATTCTCTTACATGGTCCTTTTCCTTTAACATCAGTTGGACTCTTTCTGCTAAAACTCATTCAAAATAAAGACATTATTCCCAGAGAAACATAAATGACAAATGGTTCCAGTCCAGTGTAAACCTACTTCAGCAACTGAGTGGAATAAGCATGACTTTTGAAGTCAGACTTCACTGAATCACAGCACAAACTCTCTTTGGCTATATGACACAGGACATATTCATCTTTCTTTCTACTTTGTGGAAAGATTAATGAATTTTTAAAGAATCAAGCAAATGGAACAAGGAACACTGCATTGTTGGTGAGAATGTTAACTAGTACAAACACTGTGGAAATCACTGCAGAGATTTCTCAAAAAACAAAATAGAAATTCCTTTTGGGGACTGGGGAGATAGCTCAGTAGAATAAGCACCTGACTGGTAAGTGCAGGGAGGGCCCAAGGACAAGAATATAGTCTTCCAGATAGCCAGGCATGGTGGTACATATCTGACCCCAGCACTCAGGAAGCTGAGGCAGGAGGATCCCTATGAGTTTGAGGCCATCCTGGACCTTCCCCTTCTAAGCAGGCCCTCTTCTGAGGAGCACAGTCAGCAAGAACTCATCAATAGACTTATAGATGAGTATAACACCCTATGATCCAATCACCTTCCAAAGAAAGACCCACCTGTGAACAGGAGACTTTTAGGAGACATTTTAGATCTACACCTAAAAACCCATAAACATACCTCAAATGTCATTATAATTCATGATCAAGTAATATTTGCCTCTGAGAACACATGGTAGTGATTGGCAGCACATTCTGCAGAACCTGAGGAGCATTTTAGGCACCAAGCTAAGGAGCTGCAGGAAGCGTACAGGTGGACATGGGCCTCTGGCTCAAGTGTTTGTGCCTTAGTTACTTTTTCACTGCTGGGATCAAATACTTGACACCTACAAGTTAAAGGAGAGAAGGTTTATTTTAGCTCACAGTTTGTAAAGGTTTCAGTCCATAGTCAACTGGCTCCAAGGCAGGGCAGTGTGGTAGAAGAGTGAGGCAGAAGAGAAAGTCCATGGCAGGACACACAGGAAGCAACAAACAGGAAGCCTGCCTGCCTTCTTTTCCCCTTGTATTCCATTCAGGCTACAAGCCTATTTATGCCTCCCAGACCCAGAATGGGCCTTCCTGTCATCCGCACCCAGAACTGTGATCCATATTTATTTTTCCCAGGTCCAGCCACCTCTGAAAAGTTCCACCTGTGAGTACATGAGACTTTGAGCGGACAGCTAATACATGACATAACTGTGCCATGTGAAGACAGTGTTAGAGTGAGAGCCTTTGTTCTCAAGAGATCGGGAAGAGCTTGGACCAGCACTTTCTAGGACAGTTGCATAGACCTGTAAAGAAAAGACTCTGCTGAGGGAATGAATATGAGCTAGTAGTGCTCCACTTCATCTCCATTGCCCCACCAATAGACATTCATGAAGCTTGGGCTCTGTGGATAATGATGACTGGGCTGTGAGGGAAACCCGAACTAGACTCAATATTCCTGGAACATATTTTACTCTTATTTTCTGCTTCTGGGGTTGGTACATCTAAGCCTGTGACCCTCCCCCTTTTGTGTGGAATCGGTCCTCATAATCTGAGCCTATGACCTTTCCCTGACCCCGTGGAATTGTCCCACAGGATATGAACCTATGACCCTCCCCTTCTCCACGGAATCATTGCCCATTGGAACTCTTGCAGTGAATCCATGGTGAGGAGTATTTGTCTGGGGTAAGGGTACTTGCTTTAAGAAAATTACCAGACTCCTAGTATCTGTCTCCATACTTCCTGAAGTGAGAAGTTGACCATCCCCACTTTCTAGAAGTGGGAAGTCCCATAGGTAAAAGTACTCCAATGCACAGATTTAGCACCATTTTCAATGAGACTTTTTCTGCTAACTTCAAAGAATGAAAATTTTAAAATTTATAGAAATAAGACCTATCCATTTTGCATCAAGTCCTTTCACTGTGGGCTCTGCCTTTCCGAGAGGTGACATCTGGAATTTTTCTGGACAGGCATTCCAGCCTTTCTACTGCTCCAGGTGTGTGGATCTCACCTTTTGTATTCAAAACACAAAGAAGACATGGTTTAATATAATACTCCATGACACTTAATGATCTGACTGCAATTTATGTGTCAGCTCACAGTGACTCTTACTATTTTGGTTTACTGCCACTTTTGAGAATATGCTTTAAATTAGTGACCTATTACAAGATTCCACTTGAATACTTTGTTCTTCTAAATACTAGCACTGCAGTAATTGCATCCTTTTTATATGAAAGCCACTGAGTTTGAGTTTTGATTTTTGGGCTATATTTTAAAATTTATTTTTAACTTAATCACAAAATACAAAATTGTACATATTAATGGAATATCATGTCATGTTTTACTATATGTACACAATGTAATAAATTAGGCCAAACACAATTATCTCCTTAAACAATTACCATTTCTTTATGGTGGAAAATGTCAAAATCTTTTCTTCTAGCTTTTTGAAATGTACAGTATTGTATCAGTTATTGTTTTATTAGAGAAACATAACACAAGACAAATGTGTAAAAATTTACAAGATTGGTTTATGAAGGTCACCCACAGAGTTGCATGGGGAGAGGTGCAGAGGGCGTTTGCACGCTGGAGACTGGAGGTTTCAATCCGGTGTCTGGAGTTCACTACAGTGTCTGGTGCAAGTCCGTAGCAGGAGGTCAATGGTTCTCAATAGAAGGCTGAGGAGGCTATGACAGAAGGCTAAAAGACACGTGGTGAAAGCCAGAGATTCTGTGCTGAAAGCCAGGAAAAACCTCTGACTAAAGGCAAAGATGGGAGCTCCTCCCAAGCAAGTCCATCCTCCCCCATTTCCTCTTGGTATGCCTGGGGCAACCACGTTCCCAGGGTGGGTCCTCCATACCCTAGGGTGCGGAATTGCTGAGCTGAGTTAGGTAAACTTCTAAGCTTCTCAAGTTGACTCAATCAACCATTGTAAGATACAGGGCCTGAATTTCTTAGTGAATTATTCTTTGTTTTACCGGCAAACAATTGTTTTCAGAAAACAATAGCAATATTTTAAGTTGATGTATCTCTAATTCCTGCTTTTTCAGTGTGTTAGGTAGAATATTCGTAACAATGATAAATTGTAGCAGTCTAATTTTTAATCTAAGGCTTACAGCATTTATAACCATAAAAATCATGCTTGCATATATACTTGAAATAAATTATGGTATTTTAAGAAAAAAGAAATTAAGCAAAATGTTTAATAAAGAGTACTCAACAAATGTTATTATGATCTACTTTGGTTTTAAATCAAAGACAGGCTGGGGCTGGGGCTCAGTGTAAATTAATTATCTGGCATGTTCAAGGCCCTGGGTTAGGTCCTCAGCACTACAAAAGAAAAACCAAAAACAAAACCAAAAAACCCCAAAATATAAGTTCCCTGATATAAAATTTCAGATGTAAATAGAAAATAAGGGGCTGAGGAGAGAGCTCAGCGGTCTAAGCGCCTGCCTGGCAAATGCAAGGACCTAGGTTCGATCCCTGGTACCACATACTATGCCAATGCTGCGCTGAGCCAGCCACCAAAACCAGGCATGGTGGTGCCTGCCTGTAATCCTAGTACTGGTGAGGCTGAAACAGGAGGATCACTGAGTCCAAGCTGCATAGTAAGATCATGTACCAAAAAAAATAAATTTTTAAAAAGAAAAAAATAAACACAAAAGAGGAACACACTTTTGTACATAAAATCTCCCATGTTTTTTCATCACTATTCCTCTTATAAGGGTCTATGAGCTGGGTATGGTGGTATATGCCTATAATTCTATTGTTTGGGGAGGCTGTGGCAGGAAGATCACAAGTTTGAACCCACCCTGGGCAATGGAGTGACTGGGCAATACCCTTCTATAAAGAATTGGAAATGCAGCTCAGTGTACCAGCCCTGAGGTTCAAGCCCAGTAATGGTACTCCCAAAAGAAAGGTATGGGTGACAGCACTTGCCAGGAATACCAGAGACGTGAGCTCTTGCAGCACTGGCATCAAGCACGTGTTGGTGTGACAGGCAGCTATGCTTTGGACTGTTGAGGGCCACAGCTGTGTCTGCACAAGAACAGTTCTGGAGCATGATTTTGGCCATTGTTCCCAGCTGTAGAGCCTACTAGCTTCATTCTGGTCTTCCTGGAAATTTTCTTTTTCTTTTTTTATGTGTTTAGTACAGGGTCTACAGGGTCTCACTACACAGATTGGACTCATAGTGATCCTTCATGTTTTTCAGACTCCCGAGTGCTAGGATTACAGGTGCGTGCCACCATGCCCAGTCTCAATCACAGTCTCAATGTGCCCCAAAGGTGGGTTTGGCAGAGCAGGACAGGGATTGAACCCCTGCAACTGCTAAGCAGGTGGAGATTTTCAATGAATCCATTTTTTTTAAAAATTACATTAGCCTAAATTCACTTCGGTTATTTGTAACTAAAACTTCTTTGATATGGTGTCCATCCCTGTACCAGTGGCTAGAGAATGACATTCCAGATACTGTCCTAGACCAGGCAAGCCCCATCCCTTGGGCCCTGGGCAGTCCATTCACAGTGCAGTGTACCACTCTGCTGTGAGCAGTGAGGGAGAGGGGCGGGTACTGGGGTAAACATCCTGCAAATGAATATGAATGGTCTTTAATTGTAGCAGAGATAACTCCCTAACTTATTATATTTCTTTCAACTGTTGAAGTGCTACCAGTGACAATCTTTCTGAAGCTGAAGAAATGCTGATCATATCGGAGGCTGTAAGAGATGCTACTTTATCAAAATTTCCTCCAGACTATGTCCCACTTTTTGAAAATATTATAGGAGATATATTTCCTGAAGTGACGGTTTCAAAAGTAAATCAACTTGCCTTGAAGGTAATAAGACTTTTGAAAATAATCACAAATTACTTAGATGTGGAATATCAGTTACATTAAATTAGTTGATTAAAAGAACTACAGTTCCTCCTGAAATACTTTATTTATATTATAACATGGAGGATGAAAATAGTTGGCAACATTTTCTGGATTGATGATATTGTGTTTGGTCTTCCTATTTTCAAGAGTTATTTTGAGAATCAAATTAGATCAGTTGGGCTAGCCAAATAGCTCAGTGGATTAGAGCACCTGCAAGCAGGAGCAAGGGCCAAGGTTGCCGTGCTAGCCCCGCCCCCAGGCATGCTGAGACGGCAATTGAGACTGGGCGTGGTGGTGTGCGCCCGTAATCCCAGCTCTTGGGAGGCTGTAAGCAGGTGGATCACTACGACTCTGATCTAGTAGTGAGACCCTGAACACCCTGCAGACCCTTCCCTAAAATAGAAAAAAAAGTTATAAAAAATAGAAAATATTTTTATAAATATAAATAATATTTTGTGATTATTAAAATGTATATTATAGCTGTAGAATCCTTTGTTACTTCTCTTACCTATAGTTGCATAATCACTGCTTTAGGTTTGGTAGGGCTGGTATCTTTTGCTAACACTATTACAGAGCATCCACACACTCTGCATTCCATTATATTTCCATATGGTCATGAGAGTGCTTTCCCTAAAATATATGTATGGTCACACTAATAAAACCACTGTTGGATTGGTGCTTCCTGCAACACAAATCAAAACTAGTAATTCTGGAATGTAGTAACTCTTGCCGGGCATCTCTCCAGTACATTCTGCCCCTCTTCCCTCCATCTCGCTCCTCCTTTTCCTTTGCATCTGAACATCCCCCAGCTTTCTACCTTGTCACAGGGTGTCAGGCCATTAAACATACTGTGTATTGATTCCTTTTCCTAGAACTGTATTTGGATGAGGTGGTGATTGCTTGAATTTTAAAATTTTAAATGTTTCTTAATCTTAATAAATGCAATCTAAACAGCTTCATTATTATTTTTTCTTTAAATAGTTAATATGTTATTCATATAATTTTGCTCCCAAAAAGCCATATTATTTACATTTTATTTTTGAAGGGCTGGGGATTTGGCTCAGCGGTAGAATGCTTGCCTCGCAAGCTGGAATCCCTGGGTTCGGTCCTCGGCACCAAAAAACAAAAAAGAAGCCTCCCCTAAAAAACAATTCAACCAAAAAAAAAAAAATACAGTAAAATCCAAAAAGACTGAAAATAAACAAGGCAACATTGTGTTTTTGACAACACATGCTACACTTACCTAAAAGGAGGCAGTAGATCATGTAGTAAAGTTTGGAAGAATTTTTCTCAGAAATCACATGGTTCTAGTTTCAGAAAATAAGTCTACTTAGAGTTTAATGTTCATGAATAGCGAACTACACAAATATTGCTACTTCACTCAAGTTTCAAAATGTATTAGTGTGGAGGTGAGTGGGCCACCATCTTAAGTGTTTCAGGTTCATGCTCTAGCAATTGCTCCCCAGTTACTGTACTTATTTTCCTAACCTGCATTTTCTTCCTTAGACTACCTAGCAACTTAATGTCCGCTAATCAGCCTTTTATTTATTCACTACATCTTTTTTTTGTTTTGGAACTCTTTGATACCTGTTTTAATGCTGTTAAATATCTTTCTTTATTCTGGGTATTGTGTGTTATTTTTCCAGCTTTTTAGTAAGAAGTTTAATTCATTTAGTAAGATGTTTAATTCACGCTTATTTTCAATAATGTAAATTTATAAGCCTATAAAATGTCCTCTAAGCAGCTTTTTCTGTGTCTGTTGAGATGATCAGATGATATTTGCTATGCATTCCATATGATGTATCACATTTCTTTATCTGTGCATGTTGAAGCATCCTGGCATCCCTGGAACAAATTCCCTTGGTCATGGTGGGTGATCTTTTTGATGTGCCATTTGACGTAGTTTGCTAATATGTATTTTTAAGGATTTGTGCATCTGTGTTCCTCAGGTATCTTGATCATTAGCTTGCTTGCCTCCCCCTCCCCATTTTTGTTGTGGTTTTTCTGGTTCAGGTATCAGGTTAATGAATTCTTAATCTTTTGGAATAATTTGAGAAGAATTGGTTTTAGTTGGTTAATTGGTAGATTTCAGGAGTGAAGCCATCAGGTGCTGGGCTTATCATTAATAAAAATGTTTGATTATTGATTCACTATCATTCCTAATTACTGGTTGAGGCTTTCTTTTTCTTGTAATTTTTGGTAAGTTGCGTGTCATTAGGAATTAGTGCTCTTCTTTGAGTTTTTTCCTATTTGCCTATTTGTTGGCATATAACTTTTAAAAATTGTCTCTAAAGGTCTTTTGTATTTCAGTGGTAACAGTTGTAAAATCTAATTTTTTGTCTCTGATTTTGAGTTTGCTTTTTTTCTTAGCCTATCTCAAAGGTTTGTCAAGTTTATATTTTCAGAAAAGTCTTTGGCTCATTGATGTCTTGGAATAATTTTTGTCTCTATTTCATTGATTTCTGAACTGATCTTTATTTTTTATTTTAAAGAGAAAAACTAAAACTGAAAGTAAAACAGGTTCAAAACAGGATTGTAGGAAAGTAACAATAATTAATATATTGCATGTTGTTACCTTAATAGTGCTTAAAGTAACTAGGTGACATGAAAAACAAAATATTGTCCAAACAATATTAGCCCAACCCTTTCCTATCTCAGTTCACTGAATGTATTTGTGCGTGCATGTGTATTTTTCCTTTCCCCTTCCTTTCTTTCTTCTTTCCCCCATCAATTTCTCTTTTCTTTTGAACAGCTTCTTCCCAATTCACAATATCAGTTGTATATTTTGAATCTTATTTATGCATTCAGTTTCTCACACTAGTCAGACAATATAATATTTACTCTATGTCTGATTAATTTCACTTATAAGTGTGGTCTTGAATTGTATCCATTCACATATAACAGTCTCAAGTTTATCCTTATTTAGGGTTGAGTAGTACTCCATTATATAAAAAAACCATATGTTTTTAAATGATTTAAGTTGCTTACAACTTTATAAGTTGTTCATAGTTCTCTTGTTTGGAAAATCTCAGCTCTACCTCTTTACTTCATTATATTTGTGTATATAATCCATCTTTACAAAGAAATTGTTTTGTTTTTGTTCTGTTTTTCCTCTTTGATTTCTGTTCTTATTTTCATGTTTTCATTGGGATTGTTCTTTCACTCTAGTTTTGAATACTGATTTTATTATCATTCTTGCCTCCTTCTAAAATATTTAAAGCTAAAGCGAGGTGTGTTTGCACATTCCTGTAATCCCAGCACTTGGGAGGCTAAGGCAGGAGAATTGCTGCAAGACTGAGGCCAGTCTGGGCTACATACTGATAGTATGTAGTGAGTTCAAGATAAACGATATCATGTGACCCTGTCTTAAAAATTAATTAATTAGGCTCTTGATCTTTGCTGCCACCACCATGAAAGGTTGCTTTCTGCCATGTGCTGCTCTGTGTTGGACCCAGATGAATATGGACTGAAACCTCCAGTAACTGCTCATTGCCAAGATCAAATGAGTTGACAAGTAAGCACTTTAATAGCCACACAATGTATTATAACAGAAGACAGTGATCTTATTACCATCTGCTGCAAGCGAGTCTTCAACTCCATAGAGGAGAAAGGCAAAGGTCAGAGATCTAAAATTGGAAAGGGTCTAAGTGCTCTGGGAATAAGAAGTGCTTGTCATTGTTAACAAATTGACTTGAAAACCAAAGAACCCAAGGATGATCAACAAAGAAATATTTTGGGAAATTTGTTAATCCAAGACAAACCTAAAAAGGAAAATTAATCTGCCAAGACCTTCTTTGCTCCTTAAAAGACAAATTTCTTGTCAACAGCGGACATGAAGAAGCCACAGAGATGTGACATCAATATACAAGTTATGGGAAGGCACCCAGGAGGCATGAAACACTGCCAAAGAATTCTGCTCTGAAGATTATTACTAAACATGGATTTCTCAAACACATATCTGTAAACTAAAAAAAAAAAACTGCTGAAAAATAAAATGATCATTTGAAACATGCAAATAGTTACACTTCAGTGCTGCCACTGAAACCCTATGGGCTGAACGTTATGCCCTTCCCATTCATATGCTGAAATCTTAAACCTTGAGATGCGAACAGTTGGGTTTGGAGAACACCTAGGTGACAAGAGAGGAGCCTCCAGAATGGTACCCTTAAGAAGAAGACACAGAGTTGCCACCTCCCTCCCCCGTTTCTGTGTGAGGACACATAGAAATGACAGCCCTAAGTAAGCAGGAGTGTCCTGAGCAGACACTGGATCTATCGGCACCTTGATCTCGGACTTCCCAGCCTCCAGAACAGTGAGGAGCAGGTCTATTGCTTACTAAACTCACGGAGAACGCGACTACATCTGACTTATCCATGAGCACATTATAAATGCTGCAACTCGACAACTCAAGAGAAAAGGTGAAAAGGAACTAAACCATCTGGGAGTCATATAAGTACATTGATAACCAAGTAAGCCTGTAGCATTCTTTGGAATGTCTAAGGTAATCTTCCCATTGTTGTTGCTGAATTCTCACTCAGCATACAATAAACATGAGAAAGGGAAAAAATAAATATTTAATGCTATGGATTTATTCTAAATGTTGCTTTGGCTGTTTCCCACAAACTTTGGTATTTAGTATTTTAATTAGCATTCAGTTATAAATATTTCTTAGAATCTCTGGGGATATAGCTCAGTGGTATGGCACTTACTTGCCTAGCAAGTACAATGTCCCAAGTTTGATTCCCAGCACCAAATATATATAATATCTTTTATAATTTATTTAAAGAATAAATGTAGCCCTGGAGTTTTTCTGTTTTGTTTTGTTTTTGTTTTTTGCGGAACTGGGGATTGAACTCAGGCCCTTGCGCTTGCCAGAGAAGTGCTTATTCCACTGAGCCATCTCCCTGGCCTCCTAGCCCTGGAGTTATTTGGCTTCCAAATATATGGAATTTTAATCTGTT